ATTAAAGGTCATATAAACAATGCTATTGTTTTAAACATGATGCATTAGATTGCTCACTTTAGTTAAAAATAGTGCAGCTGGATCATTCCAACGTTCTTTTGATTTTTGTTCCTCGTTTAATTCTTTATCATCTTTATATCTATGGAATGGAGTCAAAAATGTCAACGGAAATTAATTGTATACAAATGATAAAAATTAAGTTGATAATAATATAAATATTCATACATTGCTAATGGTTTATTCCGCATTTCATCCTCTTGGATAATTTGTTCTTCTTTTCCCCATTTCATATACTTTTCTTCTTCTTCAATTCTGCGACGCTCTTCAGCTCTTTGTGCAGCAATATCGATTTTTTTTCCTGCATAATATACCACAATAGCTCAAATAAATATTACTGAATTAGAAATAATAATATAATTATTTAAAATACAGACCATGTTTATCACGATATACAGTCTCCGCATCACGTCCAGATCGTGAAGGATCCATATTTAATTTGTCTTTAGTTTCTTTTTCGATGCGTTCTAATGGATTCGAAAGAGCGTACTTTGAGAAGCGTAACGCGAGGTCTGCAATGGCTGGTGAAGCTTACAGCTGGTCGGTTGAAGACATGTGAATGTGAACTTCAGATAATATCATTAGTAAAAGGTACATATATTATTTGATTATAAACTACAATAAAAATATAAATAAAAATAAGTTTATACTTACTAATAAATCAAAGATATATTATTAGGTTATAAACAAAGAAGTGCAATATACGCATTATGTAAATATAGACTTGTACAATCCAATTTTTGTGTAACTTAATTTCATTAATAATTTAATTTTTAAATGTAAAAGTAATGTGAAATCTAGTCTTTTTACGTATGTGAAAATTTTCGCAAATGTTGGTGTGGTTGCCAGAGGTTCTATTGAAAATAAACATTCTATATTTCCTATCAGTTTAATAATATTAATTTATATACGATTACAGGCGATTTTACTTTTTTCCATTTTCATTATTAGAATCATTAAGCATACTAAGCTGAAATTTTGGATAGAGAGTGCACACATGTATGGAAAATTTCGCTTACACAGTAGTCATTTTAAAGTCATTGATATAACTACTGTGCTTTTAAGTTGGAGTACTTTCAAGTAGGAAAGCGAATGCTAATGCCTTTCTGGGAATAACAATCTGTCAAAACTCAATTATGACAGAATAATGTTAAGCATATTTCATAAGTATATTCAAAGATTTAGTAGTTAAAAGTGCAATTTCCGAATTAGAGCTGCGACAAAACTGACTAATCGGGGACTAGGTAGAATCCCAAATAGTATTTACTGAGTTTCGCAAAATATTTGATTCCATAATGCCAAATACTTTCGACATTTAATTATTATGGCTAATTTTTTCTCGGTTAAGACGCGTATGAATTTGGTCCGAGTTTTCTTAGAGTTACACTTGCTGCAGTGGTTATATAGATTTAGGTGATTAGGTCCTTAGTAAGAATCAAATTACCTAAATACGTAACAAAAGGTCCATATAATGATCTACATACTATATACATAAATTGTATTTTTTGATATATATATATCTAAATCGCTAACCCTACCTGCATCAAACAAGTAGCCCTAAACTTGTACCTGGCTTTAACGTTCCCCCATAACAGGTAACCATCGCATTTCGCTGAATTGAATTTTATTAGTATGTCTCACATTTTCGAACTTAAATAAGATTGGAGTATATAAAATCTGTTTTTATTCATTAATCTCATCAATTAACAATTATTGAGCTAATCAACAATGGAAGATTATATAATTATTTTTTTCCAAAAGCTTTTAGGCAATTCTATTCGATAAACTTGATTGGAAGGTTGAATTTAATAATTTATAGCATAGATTTAACAAATTTTATTAGTTTTCGAAATTTACACTATTGAAAATTTGATTACTATTCAACTTCAAAAAAAGCAACTCTGACGTGATCTCACAAGTAATTTGAAAATTCACAATGACGACAAAAAATCTTCCAGATTCAAACCACTTATTGAACCTTTGGTTTCATTTTTCTTTCTTTTTTCTTCGGCTAATAATTGTTGAAGCTGAGTTTTCTGCTTTTTTTTCTTTGGTTTATTGCTATCAGCAAAATTTTGGTTTTGAATCGATACTGATCCTTTACCAGATACTTCGGGTGTTTG